TAAAAGATCGTATCGTCATCAACACCATGTTTAACCTAGCCCTAGGGATTAGTCTAACCGTAGCCAGGACTGACTAGGAATTAGTCTAACCGTAGCCAGGACTGACCACCGTGAACAGTCCGGTATTGTAACGTTAATCCCCCGTGTTCTAATGGTCAACCTACACTTGACATGGTCAACCTACCTCCCCACCCCCTCCCCCCTCTCGCCGTGTCAACACTTTGCTATCAACAGGCAGATCGAACAGTGTATTAACGTGAGGGGGGGGGGGTATTGGGTCAGTGGTCACACGGGCTGGACAAAGGTGCTCATTAACACTTCTGACACCGGTTAACAAGGTGTCCAGTTGGTCACTGGGCAGCTCACCGTCACATGCAACACGTGAGAGGGTGAAATAATGGATGGATCAACACGAGTTACATGACAAATATAATGGAACAACCCACGTTACTTTCGGTGTGTACACATTACAAACTATAGGCACACGTTAGGAGATACCTCGGCACTGAGTACTTTTATATCTGTACTAGATTATAATGTTGTGGTTCTCAACCCGGGTTCCATCGAGCCCCAGGGGTTCGATGAGACAGTCTCAGGGGTTTGGCGGATTTCAAGACAGACACCCGACTTTTATGATTTAAGATAGGATTTTGTACGTGTGGACGATAGAATTATTAAGAAGGGTTATGTGAACGCACTTATAAACCTCGTAGGGTTTGTTACATCCAAAAAGTTTAAGAACCACTGTTACAATTAATATCACATTTCATTATTTTTATTACTATTCTTAAGAAGACTTTAAATAATTATTATCATTTATATCGCTACTCCTAATAATAATTAACTATTATACCAATGTTGTTTTTAAAAGTAGACAAAGTGGACAAATATTTAAAGAAATATTTAATGTAAATTTTTATGTTGAGAAAAACATTTTTGGTGTTGGCCCTGTTGTCAGAGCAAGTACCTGAACCTCTAAGACGTTTATTTAGGTCACGTGCCTCCATCTTCCCCCCCCCCTCCCCGTCTGGCTGGGTTAAAGAAAGAACGTACGCCCCGCGCCTATCTGGTAACCCCCCCCCCCCCCCCCCCGTCACAAGTCATTCACAAGAAGCCATGATTCACTCCCCTGGCTGGCCTAACGATCAGACTTACCTGAAAGGTAGGTAGCTGTTTGTCTGGGGGGGGGGGGGCGGTGGGGTTTCGCTCAGCCGTTACAACTTTCGGTCGCCAGTTTATGATGGTATGTACAGGGCATCTAAGCTAACAAGACACAGTAGTTAACCTAACGATAACCTACAAATAAGCCCTTACTAATTCATCTAACATAACAGTATTAAACCTACGAATAAGCCCTTACTAATTCATCTAAGACAGTATTAAATCTACAAATAAGCCCTTACAAATTCATCTAACAAAACACAGTATTAAACCTACCAATAAGCCCTTATTCCTTCACATAAAAAATAACTGCGTGTTTCGACTAAAAACCGAAAAAGTGTTTTTAGTTAATATTTTTAAAACTTTGGAAAAAAATAAAAAAATAAAAGCTACGAACTCTACTTGATGCGGTATTTCTAATGATGAAGCAAACGTGTTTTACAATTGGGAACCTTCTTTAGCCCTCGCTGATTGGCGCTAATAATTAATATAGGTCAGTCTGGGTAGTGTAGGCGCACTTGGCAAATTTTGTAAGGTTATTTCAGAAAGGAAAAAAAAAAACGTTTCCAACTCCAACCCCAATGACGCTGTCTAGATGAAACGCAATCCCCTCGGAACAATCAACCCCAGATCCCCGGCGCTGCCCGGTTCAAAACTCGCTCAGGCCTCGGTTAATTTCCCGTGACCTAGTCTTTGACACGGCGGCCAGCGCCATTAGTGTCGCGGGCTTTAGAACGATTCCATCTTTCGGCGCGGTGTCAAAGGTCACGTCTGTCAAACCAATGACAGGGAAATAAAGTCAAGGCCGACGGCGAGTGAGTAAGCGAGTAACAACGGCACAATTAAATTAAACAGCTAAACCGCCAGAAGAAAGGGAGGGGGTGGGGGGTGTAACACCCCACAGCAATGATTGAATTTGATACCCCCTTTACAAAAGACCTGTTACCGGGACCTAAGATCACCGCCACAATACCGCTAGCTTAACTTTTCATCAGCTAATCCCGACCCCCTGTTGATGTACCCACGAGGCTAATGGATATGTATTGGAGAATTGGCATGACCGAATGGAACAGCAAACGAGTGGACGCCGTGTTAGCTAGCTTTAAGTAGATAGCGCACCATTATTTGGTGCGGACAATGGCGCACTTCGGGAAGTCCTATTCTGGTACGTTATTCCCCCCAAAGCTCCGTGCTAATCCATTGAGGCATGACATTCTTAGGCTTCTTGTGTACCGTGTAGTCCAGCCACTGATAGCGGGGTGTCTTTAATACACTTTGTAAAACACCTCCACCCCACACACCCCACCAAACCCAACATGTTAAGGGTTTCATGTAAGGTGGGAGGGGGGGGTGAAGTCGCGAATATTGCCAGAGGTTTAAATACTCATTTCTCATTTTTTGAAAGCTTTTTGGTGGGATATAAATTATTCACTCAGCGGAATTGGGGGCTCGGGATGATCCGGGTGGGGGAGGGGGGGGGGGAAGTGGAGTCTTTAAAATTGTCACCGTCATTATCAAATATTTTCAGATATGTAAGCAACACTTTCAGTACTCAAAACAAGAAATGGAACAATGTGTAACAAAACGCGTCACTGATTCTTGTAGGCTACACACAGAATAAATATATCCATAGACTTGGCCCCCCACACCCAGACTAAAATAAAACTAAATACATCGGTACATTCCTCTATTGTCAGACTAGATTCGTGACTTTTAAACCACCCTTTTTCACGACATTTTTTATATTTTTACTTAAAAATATTAACAAGAAACATCAATATTTCAACTTTACTCGGGATAAAAACTGGATTAAAAAAAAAAGAAACCAGGGACCACAACTCGACAGATATTCACAACATTTTAATATTTCTTTTTTTTTTTAAATAAAAAGCTGTATGGGGGGGGGGGGGGGGGGGAGGCAACTTGTATGTATCGCCCATCCCGCCACGTCTTAACCCGCCCTCTCGCGGATGTTGTCATAAATCTTATTTATCAATCCCGCTAACACGACGAGGGTAGGCAGATAATGATACGGGCGAGTTTTACAAGGGGTGAACGATGGGGAGGGGTGGGGTGGGGAGGGGGGGAGAGAATTAGGAATGCCAACATTCCCCAGACTTCGGTACCTGAAATATCTAAAAAAAAAATGGTGGACCTTTATAAAACACCTCCCTCGTTTTCAATCAGCATCTTCCTGTTGCCAGTAGCAACGTAAACTTCCGGTTAATTGCTTCACCTGGCCATATGGACAAGTCAGTTTCTTACCTAGGTAGTTTTTTAAAGGGCTTAACTAACAAGTCAGTTTCTTACCTAGGTAGTTTTTTTAAAGGACTTTACTAACAAGTCAGTTTTTTACCTAGGTAGTTTTTTAAAGGGCTTTACTAACAAGTCAGTTTCTTACCTAGGTAGTTTTTTTAAAGGACTTTACTAACAAGTCAGTTTTTTACCTAGGTAGTTTTTTAAAGGGCTTTACTAACAAGTCCGTTTCTTACCTAGGTAGTTTTTTAAAGGGCTTTACTAACAAGTCAGTTTTTTACCTAGGTAGTTTTTTTAAAGGACTTTACTAACGTTATCTTATGGATAACAAGTCAGATTTTTTACATATTCGTTGTTGTTGTTTGTTTTGTATTTTTTTTAAGAATTTACTAATTTTATCAAACTGACAATTCACTTTGAATTACATAGTCGTTGTGTTATTTAAAAAAAAGAACTTACTAACGTAATTTTACGGAGGAAAAATCAGGTAAAAAGTGTTATATTGAGTTTTTCAATGTTTTAAAATGAAGGTTAAAACATTAGACGGGTAGCTAGACTGTGCATATAGTGTGTTTAAGTAAAAATTTTCCGAGTGTAAAGAATGAAGTTTGAAATATTAGACGGTTAGCTAGACATATAGTGTGTTAAATTTTTTTGTAGTGTGTAAGGAATGAAGTTTGAAACATTAGTTAGACGGTTAGCTAGACTGTGCATGTAGTGTGTTAAATTTTGTCGTGTGTAAGAATGAAGTTTGAAACCCCAGAAGGGTGGCTAGACTGTGCATATAGTGTGTTAAATTTTGTCGTGTGTAAGAATGAAGTTTGAAACCCCAGAAGGGTAGCTAGACTGTGCATATAGTGTGTTAAATTTTGTCGTGTGTAAGAATGAAGTTTGAAACCCCAGAAGGGTAGCTAGACTGTGCATATAGTGTGTTAAATTGTCGTGTGTAAGAATGAAGTTTGAAACCCCAGAAGGGTAGCTAGACTGTGCATATAGTGTGTTAAATTTTGTCGTGTGTAAGAATGAAGTTTGAAACCCCAGAAGGGTAGCTAGACTGTGCATATAGTGTGTTAAATTTTGTCGTGTGTAAGAATGAAGTTTGAAACCCCAGAAGGGTAGCTAGACTGTGCATAAACAAAGCTTAAAGCCTTCTAACAGGTGTGCATGTTAACGGGCTGTTGAAAGCTAGGCTAGACCTAAAAGGTGTGTTTTTGGTTAAGTGTAAGGAGTTTGTGTCCTATGCCGTTTACAATGTTGGTATTATGTTGTGGCGTTGTGTCTTAAATAGTTTACAATCAAAGTATTATTTTCTGGTGTTGTCTTAACTAGTTTACAATGTTAGTATTATTTTGTTCTATTGTCCCAGTAATGTAATGAAAGGCTCTACACACTACATTGCGAACTCATATGATAAGTCAATATCTCACATAATGTACATAGCCATGTACACATACATACTTGCTGGGAGAGGCGGGGGGGGGGCTAAACACTAAGCCTTATTTTTAGTGACCAAAGATAGTGAGAGACTCAGGACACACAGTATTCACCAATGTAAGACAGTGAGAGACTCAGGATGTACTCACCAATGTAAGCATTCCACAGTGTATTGAGATCCGCGTGGTGTGCGAAACATCCTTTCATAATGTTCATGCAATAGTTGCTGCAAGGTTTGGTTGAGGTCAGTCCACGGCAGCGTGGACAGTGCATCATCTTGACCACAGCTTTTAGGCAGCCCTCTGTTGGCGGTATCTGGGGTGTAAAGAATACAGTTGTAATATAAGGGGGTCAGGGGTGTACAGAATACAGTTGTAATATCAGAGGTGTACTTGATGAGTTGTAATATAGGGGTTAAGAGTTCCTGGGGTATATGAGATTTGTTATAGGGTCTGATTCTAGGGGTACATGACAGTTTTATAATAGTGGTCAAGTGCGTCTGTGCTGTATTTTAGATTTATTATAGGGATCAAGGGTGTCAGGGATAAACATGAGATTTATCATAAGGGTCTGGGGTGTACACGGCAAAGTAAATATAATCTAGGGGTCGGGGTGTCAGTAATTTTTTTTAAAGAGGCTTTTGTTATATACAAATGTTGTAAGGTGATAAAAAAAAATCAAATACAAAACAATATCTGATGATTGCCTCGTTATGTCCGCCCCCACCCAACTATCCCGGTGTTTATTCACGGCTGAACCCAACACTAAACGCTGACTGAGGTGATCTCTGCCTACAGCCGTCCTCATTTTTCTTTATCAGCCTTTGCTTTCTGCCCCCAGGGGAGATTACCAAGACGTTACCGTCTGTGTGATGGGCGTTAATCAGGGGACAAAATCGCCGAGTGACGATAAAACAGCACTTGCAGTGAATGCCCATGTCTTGCCATGGGTAAATAAAAGCCACGCAGTGAACGATTACAAATGAAATATTTCATTGGCTCAATGTTTATTTGCACAACTGGTGCAGCCTCCAAAAAAATCTCGGCGCGCCTCCGCCCCTAACGGCTACAAAAACAGACGCGAAAATACACAGCAGACGTAGGAAAACAGCTCCAGGTCTGACACGGTGTGGCCGCCTCTACAGCAGAAGACACGACAAGCGAGTAGATTGTACCTCATGTTGGGTAACTATTTCAGCCCTCGCATTCTCTTCTGCTATACCACAGCAATCCTATACACAATATTTACAATAGGGCTGGTAAGTAGGTCACCAACCAGTTCTATGGCTCATGCAGGTTTTATTGAGCCGTAGAACTAGTTGGTGACCTACTTACCAGCCCTATACTCCGTGTAGTTTTACAAAAATTAACTCATTACTTATTAATAATGGTTGAAGGAACTTACCCTAGTTTCAAACAAAGCCGAAATACATCAAAGAAACGTAAAAATAATTCACTAAAAGAATAGGATTTTTTCTTATTCGTTCTTTGTAATGTTGGAAGGGATTTCCTCCAACACAATTAAGTATTACGCGCCAACTTGGTATGCGACAAATATACCGCTGTCTCCTGTTTCAGCCTAGATTTACTTCCATAGCTTTGTCCACCAAAGAACAAACTACAGGGCAGCAGTTGTTTGATTTTGGAGTTTTCTCTCCTAGACGAGTTGCTATCGAACCAAGAGTCTGTTCGGTTTATCAATGGTGAGCTTTAGCGACTCGACTGTTGAAAAATTTCTAAAGCTAGTGATTTGCCTGTAAATATGAACAGACAAATTAACAATATTTTTTTTTAATTTCACCGCAAGTCGCACCAATGTAATGCCGTAGCCTGTACATAATGTCCAACAAATTTATTTCCAAAAGTTAATCTCCTTGCTAATCTCCTCCACATACAGAGAGGGCTGGGTACTGACGGGACGGTTGGAGGATAAAAGAAAGGCATGTTATTCTTAAAGACTCGGCTATCCTAAATGACTGGATGTATTCCCATACAAGGAAGGCATGTTATTCTTAAAGACTCGGCTATCCTAAATGACTGGATGTATTCCGGTAATTTGGCATGGAGGTAGATATAGCAGAGTTTACTAGGCAGCCTCCCAGCGGTAACTGAGGCCGAAGGTGGATGGCAACTTAAGCCATGAATGAACAGTCAGCCGTACGTTAAATGATTGGGGAGGGGGGGGGGGGGGGGCAGGGCTGGCCAGACGCTCCACAAGCCGGGGCCTGGATGTCTGCGAACCCGACCAGTCTAGAACCGTCCTGGAACTGTCACGGATAAACTCGCCAGGTAATATTTTCACCTGGTTTAATGGGTCTAGGCCAGGTTAAGGGGGATGCTAAAATATATTGTCATTTCACTGGCTCGATTTTACATTATATTCTTTGATAATATGTGTGCTTTCAACAATATATATTACGTGCCGGTGTATTCTCTTTTGACTAGGTTAATAATTTAACAAAAAAAATAATACCACACACTTAATAGTATACCATATTAGCCAAGAGCTGAAATATTTAGCCCTGAAGTGGGGTTACAAGTTACAACTGTATCTTATTGTATGCACTACATTGTTGTAATGAGTGAGCTAATTACCCAACTACACTTAACTGACAAGCACTTATTTAAAGTATGGACATCATTGGACACCAAATATCAAGTACCACATGGAGCTATTGTACATATTGTACACAATACACTCGTGATGACAAAAGCTAATTGTCTAACGTCTCATTAACCCACAGCGCTTTAGATCCACTTAGATTTATTAACTGGATGATCCAGGGATAAGTACAGGTCTGTAACAATACCCAGTCTATGGTGATGGTGCTTAAGGCTAACAGGCTGACCACTACAATCGTCTGGCCCCTTAAGGCTAACATGTTGACCACTACAATGGTCTGGTCCCTTAAGGCTAACATGTTGACCACTACAATGGTCTGGCCCCTTAAGGCTAACATGTCGACCACTACAATGGTCTGGTCCCTTAAGGCTAACATGTTGACCACTACAATGGTCTGGCCCCTTAAGGCTAACATGTTGACCACTACAATGGTCTGGCCCCTTAAGGCTAACATGCTGACCACTACATTCCCTGTCTACTAAACACGTTGACAATGCTCTGGCCCCTTGAGGCTAACATGCTGACCACTATGAACACGTACCCTGTTAACTGGGTGGGGTACATCAAACGGGCTGGGATAGTTCAAAGACGGCAGATTGGCTAGATTTGATATCTTTTATCAGCTGTGGTCATTTGGTTGACACCAGTTGTACTGTGTCTGGTAGGGGGCGAGCGCTTTCTTTAGTCACCATGGAACTTCACTTAAGACAGGGTGACTTAGCCAACCAGGACCCAACACTCTATAAATCCTTGAACTGACCAGAAGACCTGATAACAAACCAGCTGGGAGGGACACAGAAGGCCGGAGGGCTGACCTTTAGTATCTGGACACAACTTAAAGCTGGGACAATAACTGGGGAAAACCTACCTCAACAACAATGTTGACAACATCACGGCCTAGAAAACTTACCTCAACAACATTGTTGATAACACCAGGGCCTAGAAAACCTACCTCAACAACATTGTTGATAACATCACAAAAACCTACCTAAACAACACTATTGACAACATCACGGATTAGAAAACCTACCTCAACAACATTGTTGATAACATCACGGCCGATGGCCAACCCTTGCACAAATGTCCTCGCGGCAATAAAAGCCCTCTTGATCTGCACCGAAAGCTTCATGGGCACCTCCCCAAACGGTTTGAGCTCGTTCATCCTCTCCGTGATGCAGCTCAGGTACTCGTCATCAAAGTTGTGGTTGGCGTTGGTCAGCACGAACATTTTCTGCAGCAACCGGCTGAAGAAACTGTCCATAACTTCCAAGAGGTTGAGGTCCTTGCCCTTGTAGTACTTCCGTAGGTCCTCGAACAGCAAGGTAAAAATTTGAGCGTTTTGTTGATAAATGAGCCCGTAAGTTTGTAAAAACATGTCGTGAAGGCTTGACTTGGCTTTGTCCAGTAATTCTGTGAAAAACTCTGTGGGGGATACAAGATAAAAATATATCAACATTTATTTTAAGGGGTAGAAATATGTTAACAAAATAGTAATCATTTATATTCTATTAGTCTAGAGTTCGAATCCGGGTCAAATCAGTAGAACGTCCCTGAGTCCACCCAGCTCTGATGGGTACCTAACTCACGTTAGGGAAGCAAAGGCGACTGGGCGTAGTCCTGACCAGACTATCCCCTTGTAGACCGAATTAATTTAAACATGAACTCTACTTCATCTGCCCCATGTGTATTGGACACAGACGGGAAGAGATTATATTCACAATTATAAAATGTATATCATCAACTCAGCGAATCTACCAGCAACACCTCCCACGGTCAACAAAAATAAAAAAATAAAAACATCATCACGATTTGAAAATACCCATTGTAATAGATAAAAAGAAGTTATTTTCAGGAGAAACAGAACCTGTTATTGCTAGAGGCCTATAACGGGACAGACACGTAAAGAGTTGCAGACTTGCCATGCACTTTTGTATGTGTGGCCAGGATAACTGCTCGGATTACCAGTATAATAGCAACATTTTAAAAAATTTAGCATGTTGACTGGTTGCTAGGGAGATGTTGACTGGTTGCTAGGGAGATGTCAACATCAGCAGGAAGTCGCCCGTCACCCCGGGAGGGTGGAGAGTGTGTTCAGTGCCTCGCGATCGTGACACTCGCTTGTGATAGGTCACGATAAGGGTGTCGCGGGTCACGTTGAGTTCAGGAAAAGTCACTGGGAAGTAGTGTGTGGGGGGGAGGGGGGGGGGGGGTTACGGGATAGACTGTATAGGACGGAGGGTGTATTTGTTTAATTGGGGGGGGGGGCGGAATGTTTTAATCAAACTCAACGGTTAGTGATAACTGTATACATTATTTTATACTTTTTTCCTTCCTCCCTCCCTCCTCACCTCTCTCTCTCTCTCTCTCTCTCTCATAGATATATATATATATATATATATATATATATATATATATATATATATATATATATATATATATATATATATATATATATATATATATATATATATATATATATATCGTATATAACAAAAGATAAAATCACAAAGCGGGGTCTTATCACAGGCCGGAACTGAAAGTTTACAGCCATCTTATCACAGGACATTCTCCAAGAGGTCTAGGTCTCCCAGGACACATGCGGGCCGCCAGGCTACGAGACAGTGGACACTGTGTACACTGTGGTCACGGGCTGTGTTGACTTACTTAAGTGAGGGGCGGAGTACGGGGTCCCCTGTGAATGATCTTTTGACCTAGATTCAGACTTTTTAGACATCATTAAACTTTGAGGGATTAAAAAGGGTTTGCTCAACAGTACCCCCTGAGCTGTACCTTCCTCGTACGATAAAACCCGAAGCGGGTGGCGAGTGGCTGAGAACAAACGAGGAACCCGAGTGTGGCGGATGGAGGGGGGGGGGAGGAGAAATAACGTTTGTCGTGGGGTAAAATATAAGTAAAATGAGTGGAATTCAGTGCTGCATTTGAAACCAAACGTTTGCGTTTTGTGATAGATTTAGCCATTTCCACTGAAGTTTTCGCGAATAGTTAAATAATAGAAGTTGAAAAACATAAGTTTAAATATGTAATTTGAAATAAGAGAAACAAGGTGTCATGAGCGTGAGTCTTAGTTTGTAGTTTGTTGTCAGTTTTGTAATGAAGGTAAAATTGCAACTGTCTCTAAATAAATCTAAGAAATAAACCTAGAGTAGAAGGAATCATATCGGCTTTATTGTTGTGGCAAACAAATGCACGAAATGTTTAACACAACCTAGGTGAGCAAAGGACAAGGGGCAACGAAGATTAATGTAGACATCCTTGAGTGTTATTCAATTATCGTTTCAACATTAAACTCACTTAGTTGTTTTAACGTAGAGAGTTTAAAATAATTTTTCTATACATCGCACGGAACCACTAAGTACAACCGAGTCTCCACAGACCCCACCCCTAAGCCTGATTGTTTCCCCTCGTGTGTCCACAACAGGGCTGACGTTGAGCAAATATTGGCCCTCGTCACTTATGCTTGAAAATTATGACTCACATCGCTGGTGAATCGGCCCATGGAGGGGCCATAACTTGCCTGTACACAGGATTTGTTCTCCATCTACGCCATTTCTGATCCACGCAGACTGAATCACCAAGGTGAGGCCGGGCACATCCTGGCTGACCACTCCCCGCCCCTTCACACAACCCAAGCATTGGTTCTATAATTACTTCTAAGCTAACTCACTATCAGACTGATATAATAGACATATCATCGACCCGGAACATATATTTTTAACAGATTTTTTAAAATAACAAACCTTGAAACTGACTAATCTTAAACACGTTAGCGGTTTGTTTTCTACAAGACTGTTCTTTTTCCCCTAAATCAAATGGACACATCAGTCATATGACTCATCTGTGTCCCATCTCTACTTATTTATATGTGATTTTCAAAATTATAAACAGGTCTTGTGCATGCACACGCCTTCTTTAAACACATACACGCGCATATAATCGCATACACGGGTCTTATATATAACCGCATACACAGACCTAATATAAAAGCACATACACATACCTTATATAAAAGTACATACACTGATCTTATATAAAAGCACATACACAGACCTTATATATAGCCACATACACAGACCTTATATAAAACCACATACACAGACCTTATATATAGCCACATACACAGACCTTATATATAACCACATACACAGACCTTATATATAACCACATACGCAGACCTTATATATAACCACATACACAGACCTTATATATAACCACATATACAGACCTTATATATAACCACATATACAGACCTTATATATAACCACATATACACAGCCTCACATACACACAATCATACACTTAGGCACATTTAGGCAGAGGCTTTACATGCACCGTTATAAATACGAACGTATACCCGAAACCGCCAAGGCCTAACATTCTCCAGGTGAATATAACTTTTGCTCGTTCAGTTAATATGTCATCTTAATTCGGGGTGGTGGGGTGGAAAGGGGAGGAGAGTTTTTACTTTATTACAACCAATCTCTAATGAGATAAACGAAATCACGTGAAGCTAATTAACGACAATATATGAGGGCCGCCCTCGCTTCCTAGGCCAAGGCAAACGCCGTAAAACACAAGTTATCTCCCTGCTCGTGAAGGTGAGCACTCAGACGAAGTGGTCGGGCTGAGACATGCCCCAACAACACAGGTACCACTAGCTACTGCCACTACCACATCCAACGCCACCACAATTACACCGGCAACACCAACACCACCAAAACCCGCATTCAGCAACGGCACATTCACCGCTATTCATAACTTCAACGCCCTCTTTGTCTCTCGTACCCCACGACGCCCCCACCCCTCCCGTGTTGACATAGCACAGCAATCGACAACAGTTACACATCACGTAGTCATTAACACAGCAGGAACATACACAATACCACCTGTCTAGAACTCATTAACAAAATCACAATGTCCACTGTTTAGCTTTCCTCTTTGTGGTCCCAAATGCGGGTGACGGAGGGGGATATCCACGAATGACATTAGTGGTCACTGGTCATTGTCTACACCCAACCAACCTTCGTGTACTGCCAAAAACAAGTGTGGACTAGCTTCATAGAAACTGTCATTTCTTCAGATCAATTTTGACATAACCATATTACAAAGTTTCCTAGTACCGGGTAACCCCGGTCCAAATATAGCCATGTCCTCAGTTCCTCTCTCAAGAAAGATTTGGATTCTTTAATTCATAATTATTCTAAAGGATTTAATTAGCCATCTTAAAAAACCACAAGTATAATTGTGAATACACCATTTTTAAACAAACGTGGTTTGCTCAACAAAGTGGTTTTTGTAAGCAAAAGACCAGAATAGCTTGAATGGTGTCAAACGTTGTCGGGTGTTTTTTTTTTTTTTACGACCTTAAGGGCGTGTACTGTGAGTGTCATAGATGCAACATGACAAACAAATCCTCGACAAAAATTACCGAACATCTTAAAACAGCATGTCGCTTCTTGGGGTAAACAATTTTAGATTAAAAGCGCGGGGGAGGGGGAGGGGGGTGTTTCATGGAAACATCTTTAGAATAAAAATGTGTATGTCAAGTAGTATTAGTCATGTTTAAAACAAAAACCCAATGCTTGTTGTTTTAATGTAGTTTAGTTGAAGTGTTATTACATCCGGGGTCGTATGTTACCATTGTGTGTGTGTGTGTGTGTGCATGTGTGTGTGTGTGTGTGACGTCAAACAAAGCACGTGAGAACCACGATGACTCACACTTTAAGTACGAGATTAAAGTCTACGCTGACATTTTATAATCCCACATCCATGTCGTATTTCAGAGCTTAGACCAAGATGTTAGGGGGGGGGGGGGGTTTAATCAGTAATTAATTATAATCTTGGCGCCCCCAGATGAACATGTCAAGGATGTGAGCACACAGCGCGTGCTAATCCTGGCATGCATCCTGGCATATCGCGCGAGACGTCCTCTCCCTGGCAAGCACACTGAAAGGGAGTGCAGACGACATGCTGAACGTGATCGCACCAAATAACTCGATGTACGAACTCAAGTTTACCCTCATGACATACTGTATGGCTAAACTAATCTATTTTTTAAGTGTATATATATATATTTTATAATAAAACTTCTAAAATAGACCTAGACCATTTACATTAAGGTTATAAGACAGTAAAAACTAAGAATGAATCTGTTAAATGGTCTAGACCAAAAACTAACCCAGCATGCAGAAAACTAAAAATGCCTGTGTCGTCACATCTAGGTTTACTAACCAAGGATTAAGAGGGAAAGATTACAGAAGATTAAATGCCTGACTCTTCAAATATGAGCACAGGGATAAAGCGATTCGTGCAGACATTGTTAAGTCCAGGCAGTTCTCGAATGTTTTATCTGCAGCAGATGTTCAATAAATCTAATCATTGGGGGGGGGGGGGGGGGTGAGAGG